AAAAAAAAAAAAAAAATACACCGAGCAGTTGAGAGGTGTTTCCTGAAGCCCCAAACCCTCTCCTAAATCTCCGGAGTTTCAAGATCTGAGGGGCTCAGCGAGGGACCAGCAGGGCTGCTGCCTCTGCGGAGATTTCTGGCCAGTTTGCGAGTGTGACACCACCAATAAAAGGAAGAAAGGAACTAGTGCTCAGTGGAGGAAGGTGAGCCTCATGTTCTCGGGGATTCATGGAGCTGGCAGTAACAGGTGAGGCTTTCTGGAAAATGGCTACCTAGTCAGAAGCAGGGGGTTCTTTCCTGGGCAAGGCCAGAGTCAGACCCCCGCCCCCCTCCTCTGGGCTCTCAGAGCACCAAGCCCACCTGGCTGGAACTCAATATACTTCACCTGGCCTGGCCCAGGTGAGTTCCAGGAGGGCAGGGCCCGTGTCTGATTTCCCTTTGAATCCTCAGGACCAGTGTTAAGGTGGGAGCCAGTTAAATGTTTCCAGAATGAATGAGCAAACCAGAGTCATTTGAGAGAGCAGGCTGTTACACACTCTGCTCAGGCAAGGAAACAGGACTCAGGGAGAGGGTGGTGAGTTTGCTCAGAGGCAGGCACATTGTTTAGTCCAGATCAGCATTCTGCTCCATCCAGCTTCACCTGTCCTTCACTTACTACACACCTGAAGCACTGCGAAGTCATCTACACTCAACATCTCAATGGTGGGAGGGTGGGCACAGTCCCATTTTACAGGAGAGGAAGTTAAGGAATTTGCTGTAGTGTGTTCCCTCCCCTCCCCCCCAGCTCTCTGCAGGCCAGACACACTGACATTCCTGTCCTCAAACACACCACATTCTCTCCCAACAAAAATGTTTGCTCTGTTGTTCTCCACCCTGGAATTCTTCCATTCACATTCAAGTTTGAGCTCCAGCATCTCTCACAGACGGGGACCAACGGTTAAATGCTCTCCCAGCACCCTGAACTTTCTATCCTCACAGCTCTTAACCTCAATTTTAACGTTTCCATTTAAATTCCGGGATTTTTCACCTAGCCCTTAGGTTCAAGGGGAGAAGCCACATTTCCCTCCCCCTTACCCCCGGCACTTAGGCCCGTGGTGGGCACTCGGTGGATCTCAGTAAGAATTTGTGGGATGCTAATTTGTATCTGTTACCTGCACAAGTGCTGAAGGTGGAATCCGAACTCAAATCTACCACGCTCGGGTCAGAGCCACAGGAGTACTGGGGTTAAGTTGATAATTCTCAAGCAAGAATCGGGGGCGTGCGGCGGTAGAGGAGGCATTCTGGGGTCGATCCGACCCAGGACCGGCTGCTGGGCTCCGCACCCCACTGCCACCTGTCAGGCTGGTGCCCAGGGCGCGGGTGAGGGCAGAAGCGGGTTCATTCGGGTCGGCCCGGCTGCGCTTACCTGCGCGACACCGGGCTCCTCAGAGGCGCTCGGTGAGCCTTGGGGGGTCTTCCGGGGACTGGGACATTGGCCGAGCCGCCCGCGAGCGGCCCCGCACCCGAGGACCCGGCAGAGACAGCGCCTGGTCTGGGGACGCAAGGCCCTCTGCAGTGGGACAACTCCAATGTCAGCGTGCCTGGACCCAGCGCTGGGGGTGGGGGGTAGGGTGTAGGAGGGGGGGAACCGGCACAGTTTTATTTTAAAATGTCAATATTTAAAACATGCCAGGAATTATATACTTGGCAGGTATAAAACTTCAAAATGAAAATTTTATATTCTATTTAAAGTGTGTGATGAGACATACAGTTTTCCTAAAATTTTAGGGTTACATGGGCAAAAAAGTTTGAGATCACTGGACTGGTGGGGAGAGCTGGGGCTTTGGAGTTAGATGGACTTGAACTCAAATCCTAAACCTTACTAGCTAAATGTCCTCAGAAAGATTAACATTCTGAGCCTCAGTCTGTTATTCTTAAAATGAGACAGCACCAACCTTAGGACCATTGTGAGGAAGACAGAAAAGGCATATTGAGTGTTGCTATATAGACTGAGTCTAATATATAGAAACGGCAAGTGCCAAGGCAAGGCCTGATTTGTGGCTCCACCAGTGCCTTAATTCATAAAAGATTCAAAAGCCAAATCAAAGCAGTTACTTTTCATTCATAATTCTAGGAGAAGAGGTATAAAGATACCATAATCATCAAGATTAAAGGTGCAGTTCCACTAGGTTGTTCTCACATGGATCTCAAAACACTAATGGTTCCTAATACTCCTGCAATATCAGAATTGGAAGCCATGGTCTTATGATGAGTGAAATTTCATTCACTTGTCCAGTACACTTTGGGGGACCTTCTAGGTGCCAAGCCCTGTGTAGGGGTGAGGGATAGAGTGTGAACTTCCTTGCCTCCTTCAAGTAGGGAAGACAGACATGAAAAGAGGTCACTTCATGTCAGTGTGACAAATGCCAATCTATATGAGGCACAGAGTAGCACCAAAAGGAAAGCAATTTTTGCAGAGGGTGAGGTTACAGAAGTTCAGTATTACAGGGTGAAAGTTTTGTAGTTTGGACTAAGATGTGTGGACAGAAAAGGGGCCACATGTTAAATCTAAAAAGCTCAGGAGACTGAAAATAACCATAGAGGATGGTGTGAACATAAAAATTTTTAACTAAGTGGNACACTTTTAAATATTTAAAGAGGAAGAGATTATCTTACATTATATAAATCTCTCTCTCACACACACATAGTATTTACAAGCTAACTATCTTCATCTGTTGGATCCTAGGATCGCTATACATTCTAAGACCATCACACTCAACATATGGAAAAAGAAAGGGAGGGAGATTAGTCAAGGTTCCCACCCTACTCTCTCCTTAGGGGTGGGTTAAAGGCTGATTTGGTCCCCCACTTCACCCTTGGAAGGGAAGAGCTCATCTCTGTTGGCCTATATGCCTCACTTTTTTGCCCCCATAATGCCTTGCATCATATCTATGGGCAGAGGGAAGATAATCGTCGAGTTTTTCTCAGCAGCAATGGTGGTCAGTGTCTGAAGATACCGGAGCTGAAGGGCTGCAGGCGATTCGGTGATGACTAGGGAAGCTTCTTTCAGAGCCCTGGATGCATTCATTTCTCCCTCAGCGGCAATGACCTAGGAAACAGTAGGAGGAGAGATCAAACAGGAGAAAATGGCAGCAATCAGGCTGCAGGCTTCAAACTGGTGTATGTATGCCTCAGGTACACACAACTTTCCAGGGAGTATGCCAGAAATTTCAAGGAAATCAATTTCCAGACACTCAGTTTCCATGCTCTGTTGCCTATAAATCAGTATATGCCTGAGATCTTTTACTATTGCCTTTCTCTCATTTTCCAGGGCACCAAACAAAGGGACAATTCAAAATACTGTGTAGGGGTTCAGAAAGTGAATGACTTGAATGACGGGATACAAATTCTTTTGAAAGTCAGATGGATTTCCAATTCTTTGATTTCAAAGAAAGAAAAGAGGACCTTATCGAACTGAAAGCTGACAGATCATTACAAATATTTTTTTGATCAGGGGGAATGAATCACTGCATAAATTATATAAATGTCTAACCACTAGGCTGTACCGCTGAAACTAATGACTGAATGTCAACTGTAACTGAAAAAAGAAAATTAAAAAAATATTTTTTGGTGAAAGATTGCTTTATGATTGTTTGGCACATAAATTAAGAGGCGGTACTAAGAATTGCATGACATTAAACAAAACTTCCATTTCCATCTATTTATTTATTCAAACAAGGTTTCTTAGTCCTTATATCTATAAAAATGAAAAATAATAGCACTGATGCCAAATCTTGTTTCATTCAAGCAATAAGTTATAGCCATCTACAGATACATTCGTGAAATTCAATTCACGAATTGATTTCTCATTCATCTCATTATAAGAAGCATTTCTGGTAAAAACGTATGTATATGGAGAAATTCTGGAACATCTAGTCTTGTTTGTAATCAGAGGAAATTTTAAAAAATAATTTTAACTTACATACTAAATGTGTTGCAGTAGGGTAATAAAATAACTCACGACAAAATATATTAGGAAAAGAATCTGTGATGGAGGTAG